CGGATTTCTGCAGAAATCTGTAAATTGGCGCTGGAACCTTTGATATAATAAACCTTTATAATCAAGTACAGTGTCAAGCGGATTTCTTGTCTACACAGCATATCAGCATCGTTGTCTCGACACCACATTAAATGGCGACGAGGATTTTTGGGACGTGTTGCGTCTCTTCAGCGTTCCATTCATGGGCTACGAAGTGACTCCCGCTCAAGAGGCCGGCAGATAAGGTGAGCTTTCTCACAACTTTGGGCGCTGGTCGGTTCGTGTGCTGTGTGTGTGCGTTGAGGAGATGTACCGTCAAAGGACTTGTGTGTGCGCCTTGCTGTTATTTGCTGTGGGATGACAATCCGTTCTAAATTTCTAAATTTGTTTGCGTTGAAAACAACGCAAACAGGGGGGAGTGTCTATAGGAATTGATAACACTGGGCACAGGGATATTTGGCTTGAATAAATTTAAAGGAGTGTCCAGGAATAGAATGAAGGAATAAGACAAGGAAATAAGGAAAAAAAGTATACTATTAGGACGTCGCTGATTTAAGGAAGCCCTCAAACGAGGCGATCATTAAGATGGGCCGTAAATCTTAGGAAAGTCACTAGGTTGACTTTCGGGTCAGTTATGGGAACTGGAGATTGTAGAATATACATTCAATTGCATGTTACCTCTCGGAATATAGTTGACGAAGTATATGTTCGATGTAGCCTCTCATTGAATATCTGCAACTCAAGGTAGCAGAAATTTAGGAAGGAATATAAAGGAAAAAAGGAGCGACGTAAGCATGCTTTAGAGTATTGTATGAACGGATGCATTCTTGTTTGAATATGTGTGTGTGTGTGTGAAAGAGAGCCTATGCGTGTGTGTACATGGGGAGGTCTCTGCTGTGTTCCAGCTGTGTCGACTCATGCTATGATAACATTTATGTTAGAGATATATACATATATATGTTTTGGTTGAGAACAGGGGTTTTAGTTTTTTGTAAGGAAATATGTTAGTTAAGGTTAAAACCTTATGAGTCTCCATTTGAGAGAACGTTTAAAATTTTTTTTAAAAATGATGAGCCCCTGGGAGGACGTTTGGTGTAATGGATAAGAAAATAAGTCTACAGATTAGAGTAAAATATGTGAAGATAGAGGAGAGAGAAAATAGATTGTGGTAAAGTTAAGAAACTTCTAAGTAGGATTTGTGTTCTATGTTTTGTGTTGGTTTGTGCGTTTTGTTCAGTGTTACTGTTTGTCTGTGTTGGAAAAAACGGAGGGACAGCTGGTCTGTCTACTGTCTGCTGTTTGGAGAGAGTTGCTTGCGGGAGCTCCTCTCACCATGAAATCGCACTGGTAAATGAGCTGCGCATGTGTGGGATTTTAGGAATTTAGAGTTGTGCGGAGTGAGTGTGCCACTCCCCTGCCTGCACTGAGCTGCTGTGACACGCAGACTTAGAGCTGAAAAAAGAAAGGGGGAGACTTTGAATACACACGGATAAAGTATTCTGTTTGATAAGTGGCTGTTGCTTACCTATCAAACAATTTGATTGAGATACATTGAATTTATAAATGAGAAGATATGTTGACGGATTAAAAATAAAATAAATAAATAAATAAAATAAAATGTTATTGCGCTATTTATAATATTCCTGAGTTAAGCTGTTTGCTTATTTCTTAGCGCGAATGTGAACATAGGTATGTCTAAAAGGGTATTGTATGGTTGAAATAACCCAGTGAGTGCATAAAAGACTAAATTCTTGTCTGTTTCTTTTGTTCTTCTGTGATGTGAGAAACGAGAAGGAGGAGACAGAGAGAGAGGAGGTGCTGACCAGTGTGTGTGCTGCCCCGGATCCAGTCCAATTAAGGCCAGTACTGTTCTATCCACAAACTTACAGTGGGGAAAAAATTTATTTAGTCAGCCACCAATTGTGCAAGTTCTCCCACTTAAAAAGATGAGAGAGGCCTGTAATTTTCATCATAGATACACGTCAACTATGACAGACAAATTGAGAAAAAAAAAATCTAGAAAATCACATTGTAGGATTTGTAATGAATTTATTTGCAAATTATGGTGGAAAATAAGTATTTGGTCACCTACAAACAAGCAAGATTTCTGGCTCTCACAGACCTGTAACTCCTTCTTTAAGAGGCTCCTCTGTCCTCCACTCGTTACCTGTATTAATGGCACCTGTTTGAACTTGTTATCAGTATAAAAGACACCTGTCCACAACCTCAAAGAGTCACACTCCAAACTCCACTATGGCCAAGACCAAAGAGCTGTCAAAGGACACCAGAAACAAAATTGTAGACCTGCACCAGGCTGGGAAGACTGAATCTGCAATAGGTAAGCAACTTGGTTTGAAGAAATCAACTGTGGGAGCAATTATTAGGAAATGGAAGACATACAAGACCACTGATAATCTCCCTCGATCTGGGGCTTCACGCAAGATCTCACCCCGTGGGATCAAAATGATCACAAGAACGGTGAGCAAAAATCCCAGAACCACACGGGGGGACCTAGTGAATGACCTGCAGAGAGCTGGGACCAAAGTAATAAAGCCTACCATCAGTAACACACTACGCCGCCAGGGACTCAAATCCTGCAGTGCCAGACGTGTCCCCCTGCTTAAGCCAGTACATGTCCAGGCCCGTCTGAAGTTTGCTAGAGTGCATTTGGATGATCCAGAAGAGGATTGGGAGAATGTCATATGGTCAGATGAAACCAAAATAGAACTTTTTGGTAAAAACTCAACTCGTCGTGTTTGGAGGACAAAGAATGCTGAGTTGCATCCAAAGAACACCATACCTACTGTGAAGCATGGGGGTGGAAACATCATGCTTTGGGGCTGTTTTTCTGCAAAGGGACCAGGACGACTGATCCGTGTAAAGGAAAGAATGAACGGGGCCATGTATCGTGAGAATTTGAGTGAAAACCTCCTTCCATCAGCAAGGGCATTGAAGATGAAACGTGGCTGGGTAATTCAGCATGACAATGATCCCAAACACACCGCCCGGGCAACGAAGGAGTGGCTTCGTAAGAAGCATTTCAAGGTCCTGGAGTGGCCTAGCCAGTCTCCAGATCTCAACCCCATAGAGCATCTTTGGAGGGAGTTGAAAGTCCGTGTTGCCCAGCGACAGCCCCAAAACATCACTGCTCTAGAGGAGATCTGCATGGAGGAATGGGCCAAAATACCAGCAACAGTGTGTGAAAACCTTGTGAAGACTTACAGAAAACGTTTGACCTGTGTCATTGCCAACAAAGGGTATATAACAAAGTATTGAGAAACTTTTGTTATTGACCAAATACTTATTTTCCACCATAATTTGCAAATAAATTCATAAAAAATCCTACAATGTGATTTTCTGGATTTTCTTTCCTAATTTTGTCTGTCATAGTTGACATGTACCTATGATGAAAATTACAGGCCTCTCTCATCTTTAAGTGGGAGAACTTGCACAATTGGTGGCTGACTAAATACTTTTTTTCCCCCACTGTATGGTGATGAATTACGGCTGATGAAAAACATCTGTTTGGTGAGTAGGCATAGGCTTAATGATTCTGTTGAAAATATGCTCTTTGTCTTTATCAAACTAATGTTTTTGCATATGCTTAGTGTGGAACCTGTCTATGTTTAGGGGGGTTATAGCATAGCCCTAGGCTGACCAATTCTAAATGGCACTAGGAGTTCGCAAGAAAATTGACCGGATGCAATTATTCCAAAACTGCAGCTCATTGTTGGAACACATATTTCCCTACTTCAATCAATCAGCCCATTTTGAATTTGTGATAAAATATGTCCTCATTTGGCAAGGAATGTAGCTTGTTTATCCCATCCGTTAGATACGTTTTTATAGGCATGTATTTCTGTAGGCCTAATGGGAGCTTGTGTGCGCGCTCAGGACGTGTGTAGAGGGAGCGGTCAGAACGCAATTGAGTGAGTGAGACAAGGAGGGGAAAGGGTAAGAGGAACTGTTGGCTTGTTTTCTTTTTTTGTTGTGCCCCGCAAATGCACATGTAGGCCTATGGAACACTAGAGTCAAAGCAAATTAACATTGTCTTCAAGACACATTCCACCAAATAGTTTGACAGTATTTGAAAAAATGTGATCTCTAGTTAAAGATCGAGTTTTGACATCCGTCGAGACTCATGCCCATCCCTACCTCCGACATGACCTTTTTTTTCTTTGTTGAAGCGCTGTCATAGTGTCATCATGAAAATGTATAAAACTTGTCTCAGCAGCATACATGTTTGATGCAACAAGGGTAGAAATGGCTTATTTATTCAATATTACTTACCAAGCAAAGCAGAGCTGTTTTATCGAGGTACAAATATCCTGTGCTTTTTCATTTTGCGCATAGGCACATACAGACACAGCTTGGCTACATTGTAACCGTGAAGCGTATGGGGCTCATCCAGGACTGTTAGTTTTGTAACTGAATGAAACATTTGCCTATTGATGTTGGGAAAATACTGTAGATGGCAAAAATGCAGAATGGTGTTAAATGCCTGTAAACAGCTTGGGGAGAAAATAAATTCTCACAGATTTAATAATGTAATATTAGGCCTACTGTCATAGGCCCGTGCTCATTACGGTTCTTACAGGCAAAATGAAATGACAAAATTTGCTTGTGGTGCACGTAGCACAACTAACTGACCGACATCAGTTCAATTATTTGAATTCCATTTCGTTCGTTTTTTTTGTGTGAGCTCAAACACAATCTGTTAATTATTACATAATATATCAAATGTAACTATCTATTTTAATACAGACTAGCTCAAAACATGACTTATCATTGAAAATGACAAATTACCCAATAGATCATGATACTTTTCTGGTAAAAAAAAGTGGGGGTGCAAAAACATACGTTTGCACCCCTATTTTGAAAGTGCAGCTGCTCCGTTTGCGACATTTCTCAGGCTCCTATGCTGTATACACATATTTACACAACATCCATACAATCTGACAGGCAACTCACTAAAGATACAATACTAAACATGATCTATTGTGTCTGTTGACTACTAACCCGTGTGGAAATCGATGCCGAATGACTCTTGCAGCCCAACAACAGGGTTTATTCCCATCATCCTTCGCCTCCACAGAGATTATGTAATATTCCAGCCGGGGTCGTAGGTCAGGGTCATTCGCAGTGAGCGTTGCCACCACCACGCCCGGCGCCGTAGACTCATTTATGTTAATAGTTGTCACAGGTTCCAGGAAACGCGGTCGCGAGTCGTTGACGTCATCCAGGATGACCGACAGGGTGGCCGTGCCCGACAATGAGGGTGTGCCACGGTCGGTAGCCACGACGACCAGACGGTAGGAGCCACGCTCCTCGCGGTCGAGGGTGGCGTTGCCCACCAGGACGGCACCAGAGAGGGAGTCAACTATGAAGCGGTCCTGGGCACCGCTCTCCAGCCGGTAGAGTAGCCAGGCGTTAGAGCCCGAATCAGCGTCACTGGCAGACAGCTGGGTCACCACCACACCTAGAACAGAGAGAAACGACGGAAGAGAGGACACAGAGGTTAGGATAGAACACAAAGGGCATGTTTCCCAGACAGATTAAGCCTAGTCCTGAACTAAAAAGAATGTTCAATGGAGAATCTCCATTGAAATATATTTTTTTCCAGGACTAGGCTTAAAAGGGAAATCTGCAGTTCAAACAATAACAAAGCGTCACCCCTCCACTGTTTCGGTACACAGCTGGGGTTGGCGAAATGTAACCACTCTCAAATTCATAGACAGAGCTATGGATGCAAGGACTTACCATCCATGGTCCTCTGTAGCTCAATTGGTAGAGCATGGCGCTCGTAACGCCAGGGTAGTGGGTTCGATCCCCCGGACCACCCATACGTAAACATTTATGCACACATGACTGTAAGTCGCTTTGGATAAAAGCGTCTGCTAAATGGCATATTATATTATTATTATTATCAAAAGTATAGTTGGAGGCTATACAGTGTTTATTTACAATTACATTGTTTACAAACAATGGAGTAAAACAAGCTTATATTTTGGGTTCTGATGGAGTACGACAGTTGAACTAAGCCTGGGGCATTTCAAGTTATATTCTTCAAGAATCAATGGGTATATATCATTCATTAAAAAGTCCAAAAATCATTGTAGCAATGGATGTATTTGTGCATGTATCTGTGGCTTGGGGGGATTAGTGTAATATCTATGTACATGCATGCATAGAGTCACACAGACACACACACACACGTTATGTTCTTCTATCCTCGTGGTGACCTAAAATGTATTTCCATTCAAAATCCTATTTTCCCTAACCCCTAACCCTGAACCTAACTCCTAACCCTAACCACTAACCCCTTACCCAAACCCTAATTGTAACCCTAACCCTAAACCTAACCCCTAAGCTAAAAATAGCCTTTGTCCTCATGGGGATGTGGGAAATGTCCCCACAAGGGAGACATTTTCTTGTTTTACTATCCTTTTGGGGACTTTGGGGGATTTTAGGATAGAAGAACCAACCCACACACACACCCCCACACACCACCATCCATCCACCCACCCACCCATCAACACACACTCACCAGTGGGGCTGTTCTCAGGGAGGTGCACAGTGAGGCTGGGTGGATTAAAGACAGGAGGGTTGTCGTTCTGGTCCATGATAGTCACAGTGAGGGGCACGCTGCTGTTGAGCCCCCCCACATCCTCCCCCACCAGGAGCAGCTCCACCCGCGGCTCCACAAACGCCTCGCGGTCCAACAGAGCCCTCTGTCGCACACGCACCACACCTGCAGGGGGGAACAGGGGAGAGGTACAGGCAGTGGGTTAATTGGTGATGAAGTAAGCATCTCACTGTTAGTCTGCACCTGTTGTCTACGAAGCATGTGACTAATAAAATTTGATTTGACTTAAGTTTTGATTAATTATATGTGTGTGGGGTTGTGAGTGAGAGTGTGTGTATGTGTGTTTGAGTGTGCATGTATTAGTGGTGTGTGATTAAGTGACCATTATGTGTGTGTGTGTGTCAGACCTGTATCAGAGTCCACAGTGAAGAGGTCCAGTCTTGTTCCCAGCAAACGGTACCTGACCACAGCGTTGGGCCCAATGTCTTTATCCTCAGCCAACACTGGTCCATTCAACACTGACACAGCACTGCCTGAGAGAGGGGGAGAAAGGATTATGTGTAGGATGGCATATGGGGAGAGGACAGTTAAATACAAGAGTTGAGGAGGGAAGGGCAAGAATAATTGATGAGTGAAAGAGGGAAAGATCAAGATGGGGAGAGAGTGGGAAGAGATGGAAACATGAGTCATCGAAGCATAGACGAAAGCAGATACAGTGAGGGAAAAAAGTATTTGATCCCCTGCTGATTTTGTACGTTTGCCCACTGACAAAGAAATGATCAGTCTATAATTTTAATGGTAGGATTACTTGAACAGTGAGACAGAATAACAACAAAAAAATCCAGAAAAACGCATGTCAAAAATGTTATAAATTGATTTGCATTTTAATGAGGGAAATAAGTATTTGACCCCTCTGCAAAACATGACTTAGTACTTGGTGGCAAAACCCTTGTTGGCAATCACAGAGGTCAGACGTTTCTTGTAGTTGGCCACCAGGTTTGCACACATCTCAGGAGGGATTTTGTCCTACTCCTCTAGGCAGATCTTCTCCAAGTCATTAAGGTTTCGAGGCTGATGTTTGGCAACTCGAACCTTCAGCTCCCTCCACAGATTTTCTATGGGATTAAGGTCTGGAGACTGGCTAGGCCACTCCAGGACCTTAATGTGCTTCTTCTTGAGCCACTCCTTTGTTGCCTTGGCTGTGTGTTTTGGGTCATTGTCATGCTGGAATACCCATCCACGACCCATTTTCAATGCCCTGGCTGAGGGAAGGAGGCTCTCATCCAAGATTTGACGGTACATGGCCCCGTCCATCGTCCCTTTGATGCGGTGAAGTTGTCCTGTCCCCTTAGCAGAAAAACACCCCCAAAGCATAATGTTTCCACCTCCATGTTTGACGGTTGGGATGGGTTTCTTGGGGTCATAGGCAGCATTCCTCCTCCTCCAAACACGGCGAGTTGAGTTGATGCCAAAGAGCTCGATTTTGGTCTCATCTGACCACAACACTTTCACCCAGTTCTCCTCTGAATCATTCAGATGTTCATTGTCAAACTTCAGACGGCCCTGTATATGTGCTTTCTTGAGCAGGGGGACCTTGCAGGCGCTGCAGGATTTCAGTCCTTCACGGCGTAGTGTGTTACAAATTGTTTTCTTGGTGACTATGGTCCCAGCTGCCTTGAGAAAATTGACAAGATACTCCCGTGTAGTTCTGGGCTGATTCCTCACCGTTCTCATGATCATTGCAACTCCACGAGGTGAGATCTTGCATGGAGTCCCAGGCCGAGGGAGATTGACAGTTCTTTTGTGTTTCTTCCATTTGCGAATAATCGCACCAACTGTTGTCACCTTCTCACCAAGCTGCTTGGCGATGGTCTTGTAGCCCATTCCAGCCTTGTGTAGGTCTACAATCTTGTCCCTGACATCCTTGGAGAGCTCTTTGGTCTTGGCCATGGTGGAGAGTTTGGAATCTGATTGATTGATTGCTTCTGTGGACAGGTGTCTTTTATACAGGTTAAAAAACTGAGATTAGGGGTTTTAAGAGTATGCTCCTAATCTCAGCTCGTTACCTGTATAAAAGACACCTGGGAGCCAGAAATCTTTCTGATTGAGAGGGGGTCAAATACTTATTTCCCTCATTAAAATGCAAATCAATTTATAACATTTTTGTCATTCTGTCTCTCACTGTTCAAATAAACCTACCATTAAAATTATAGACTGATCATTTCTTTGTCAGTGGGCAAACATACAAAATCAGCAGGGGATCAAATAATTTTTTCCCTCACTGTATAAAGACAAGAAAAGCGATAGAGGTATTGAGGGCCAGGCTAGGGATAGAGGTAGCAGAGGAATTATACATTGTCAATTCAGACAGACAGGCAGACAGACAGAGCCAGTCAGCCAACCAGCAAGACCGACAGAGAGACAGACAGACATCCAGACAGACATACAGTACCTTCAGAATTTATTCACACGCCTTGACTTTTGACACATATTGTTATGTTACAAAGTGGGATTCAAATTGATTGAATTGTCATTTTGTGTCAACATTCCACATACAATACTCTGTAATGTCAAAGTGAAAGAAAAATTATTCGACTTTTTTTATTTATTAATGAAAAATACAATTAGATACTGGAAGTATTCAACCCCCTGAGTCAATAAATGTTAGAATCACCTTTGGTAACAATTACAGCTGTGAGTGTTTTGGGGTAAGTCTCTAAGAGCTTTGCATACCTGGATTGTATAACATTTGCCCATTATTATTTTAAGAAATTCAACTCTGTCAAGTTGGTTGTTGATCATTGCTAGACAGCCATTTTCAAATCTTGCCATACATTTTCAAGCAGATTTAAGTCAAAACTGTAACTAGGCCACTCAGGAACATTCAGTGTTGTCTTGGTAAGCAACTCCAGTGTATATTTGGCCTTGTGTTTTAGGTTATTGTCCTGCTGAAAGGTGAATCTGTCTCCCAGTTTCTGTTGGAAAGCAGACTGAACCAGGTTTTCCTTTAAGATTTTGCCTGTGCTTAGCTCTATTTCTTTTTTTATCCTAAATAACTCCCTAGTCCTTGCCGATGACAAGCATACCCATAACATGATGCAGCCACCACCATGCTTGAAAATATGTAGAGTGGTAGTCAGTGATGGGTTGTGTTTGTATTCAGGACAAAAATAAATTTCTTTGTCACAGTTTTTACAGTAATACTTTAGTGCCTTATTGCAAACAGGATGCATGTTTTGGAATATTTGTTTTTCTCTACAAGCTTCCTTCTTTTCACTCTGTCATTTTTGCTGAGCAGCTCAAGCCCCTGGTTCACCTGAAGAAGATTGATCCGAAGAGACACATGTAAGAAGGGGTGTGTTATGATGACCTTCTATTGGCTGTTAATGTTGTTGATCCATCCTCAGTTTTCTTCTCGCATCACAGCCATTAAACTCTGTAACTGTTTTAAAATCACCATTGGCCGCATGGTGAAAACCCTGAGCGGTTTCTTCCCTTTCCGGTAACTGAGTTAGGAAGGAGGCCTGTATCTTTGTATGACTGGGTGTATTGATACACCATCCAAAGCGTAATTGATAAATTCACCAAGCTCAAAGGGATATTCAGTGTCTGCTTTTTTTATTTTCACCCATCTACCAATAGGTGCCCTTCTTTGCGAGGCATTAGAAAACCTCCCTGGTTTTGTGGTTGAATCTGTGCTTGAAATTCACTTCCTGACTTACAAATAATTGTATGTGTGGGGTACAGACAGTGCTGTGGCGGTCATGAAATTTCGTCAGCTGGTGATTGTCAAGCAAATAACTGCCGGTCTCACAGTAATTGACCATTAATTAACATAAACACATTTAGCATCTCCTGGCTTCCACGCATAGCCTACCATCCACTGATGCAGACCTTGAATCCATGTAATATAGCCTACACTATCACAATAAATCCATTATTTATTTTAGATTGGTCTAAAGAAACATGAAATCAAGAAAATGTAGCTTATTTCAGAAGAACAGAATAGCATACTCTGAGTTGTCCTTATGTTAGGCCCTGATCTGGCTATATCATATGGCTGTGGGCTACACTAGTTCATTTAGCAGAAAATATTTGCTTTGAATTCTGTGGCATTATTTTATATTAATTTATACTATGAAGAATACAATTGAACATAGCTGAATAAAAAATAAAGGATATTTTCTCCAAACGATTTGAGGGCGCACATGTGGCTATTCTGTGCTGAGCGGTTAATAAATATGCCATTGAGCAGACGCTTTTATCCAAAGAGACTTACAGTGATGCGTGCATACATTTTTTGTGTATGGGTGGTCCCGGGGATCGAACCCAGTACCCTGGCGTAACAAAGGACCAAAGAAACAGGTACTCCTATATGTTTAATTTAGAGTTACTTATGTAACTGTAGTTGTGATACAAACGTTGGGCTATATGTTTAGATTTTTAATACATTCTAAGGCTGCATGACTCTAAGGATGATTTGAAAAAAGTCGCATGAAAGGCATGAGCCCTGCTTTGTTTTTTGCACAGGCTGTACACACTTCATCAGTCTCTCATTCACAATTTGACAAGCGCTTGATAATGCCTTGAATTTCCCGGTGGCATCCCCTTTGTGTGGCCGTAATGCCCCCTAGAAAAATCCATGCCTTTTACGGCCAGTGGCCGTTGTGCCCTTGGGCTGAATATAATAAGTATAATTCCCTTCTCCCAGCTTCGCGCTCGAAGCACCTCTCACTCACAGGCTCTCTATCACGTGCTCGGGTCTTTCTCACAGGCTACAAGTGAAGACAGACACATCAGGGATGCAACTGTGTGTGTCCTTATCCAATTCAGAGGCGCATATTGAAGATATTGGAAGAACTGTCCACATTTACTTTTCATCAGCCAACAAGATGATTAGGCCTAACGAACAGCAAAAGCACTAGCCTATGTCAAACTACTATCACCCATAGTACAAAAGTTGACCTATTCTATTCTGTGCGAGAAATAAATATTCCAAACATAGTCTGGGACAGTTGTGGGATGCGATAGATCCCAAATGAATACAAGCACCAACAGATCAGAACGTTTAGCTTAAAATGTTGATAAACTATTAGGCTATTTCTTCACATTATAGGCTACTAATGACCATCAGCAGCATCAGAGCTTGGATAAGCCTAATTATCATGACAAAACGGTCATGTGGAATTTGACTGCCATCATGACTCGTGACTGCTGGTGTGGCGGTAACAGGTTCACTGTAACAGCCCTAGGTACAGAGATGGGGTAGTCATTCAAATCATGTTCACCACTATTATTGCACACAGAGTGAGTCCATGCAACAGGTTAACAATCACAAGGCTGCCGAGCCAGACGGAATACAAAGGCGCGTTCTCATAGCATGCGCAGACCAACTGGTAAGTGTCTTCACAGACATTTTCAATCTATTTCTCCTTGTCCCAGTCTGTAATCCCAACATGTTTCAAGCTGACCACCATTGTCCCTGTTCCCAAGAGCTCCAAGGTAACCTGCCTAAATGACTATCACCCTGTAGCACTCACATCTGTAAATATGAAGTGCTTTGAAAGGCTGGTCATGACACACATCAACACCATCATCCCAGACCCACACACTTCACACTGCCCTCTCCCAACTGGACAAGAGGGGAAATAACTACGTGAGAATGCTGTTCATAGACTACAGCTCAGCGTTCAACAAAATAATCCCCTGTAAGATCATCACCAAGCTAGGGACCCTGGGACTGAACCCCTCCCTCTGCAACTGGATCCTGGACTTCCTGATGGGCCAGCCCCAGGTGGTGAGGGTAGGCAACAACACCTCCTCCATGCTGACCCTCACACGGGGGCCCCTCAGGGGTGTGTGCATAGTCCCCTTCTGTACTCCCTGTTCACCCACGACTGTGTTCATGCACGGCTCCAACACCATCATCATGTTTGCTGATGACACAACGTTGGTATGCCTGATCACCAACGGCGATGAGTCAGCCTACAGTGAGGAGGTCAGAGACTTAGCAGTGTGGTGCCAGAACAACAACCTCTCCCTCAACGTCAGTAAGACCAAGGAGCTGATCGTGGACTGTAGGAGAAAGAGGGGAGGGCAGCTATTGTTGAGCGGGTCGAGAGCGTTAAGTTCCTTGGCGTCCACATCACTAAGGACCTAACATGGTCCACACACACCCACACAGTCGTGAAGAGGGCATGGCTGCGCCTCTTCCCACTCAGGAGGCAGAAAATATTTGTGCATGGGCCCTCAGATAATCAAAAAGTTCTACAGCTGCACCATCGAGAGCATCTTGACTGGCTTCATCACTGCTTGGTATGGCAAAGGCACCGTTCTTGAGCGCAAAGCACTACAGAGTGTGGTGCGGACAGCCCAGTACATCACTAGGGTAGAGCTCCCTGCCATCCAGGACCTCTATACCAGGCAGTGTCAGAGTAAGGTCCGAAAAATTGCCAAACACTCCAGCCACCCAAGCCATAGACTTTTCACTCTGCTACCATCTGGCAAACAGTACCGGAGCATCAGCTGTCGGACCAACAGGCTCCGAGACAGCTTCTACCCCCAAGGCATAAGAATGCTAAATAGCCAGACTGCTAAATACACTGAACACAAATATAAACGCAACAATTTCAAAGATTTTACTGAGTTACAGTTCATATAAGTTAGTTAGTGCTAAATACGGCTGCTAGAATCCTGACTAGAACCAAGAAATTTGATCATATTACTCCAGTGCTAGCTTCCCTACACTGGCTTCCTGTTAAGGCAAGGGCTGATTTCAAGGTTTTACTGTTAACCTATAAAGCGTTACATGGGCTTGCTCCTACCTATCTTTCCGAGTTGGTCCTGCCGTACATACCAATACGTACGCTACGGTCACAAGACGCAGGCCTCCTAATTGTCCCTAGAATTTCTAAGCAAACAGCGGGAGGCAGGGCTTTCTCCTATAGATCTCCATTTTTATGGAACAGTCTGCCTACCCATGTGAGAGACGCAGACTCGGTCTCAACCTTTAAGTCTTTACTGAAGACTTATCTCTTCAGTAGGTCATATGATTGAGTGTAGTCTGGCCCAGGAGTGTGAAGGTGAACGGAAAGGCTCTGGAGCAACGAACAGCCCTTGCTGTCTCTGCCAGGCCGGTTCCCCTCTCCACTGGGGTTCTCTGCCTCTAACCCTGTTGCAGGGGCTGAGTCACTGGCTTGCTGGTGCTCTTTCATGCCGTCCCTGGGAGGGGTGCGTCACTTGAGTGGGTTGAGTTACTGACGTGATCTTCCTGTCTGGGTTGGCGCCCCCCCTTGGTTTGTGCTGTGGTGGAGACCTCTGTGGGCTATACTCGGCCTTGTCTCAGGATTGTAAGTTGGTGGTTGAGGATATCCCTCTAGTGGTGCGGGGGCTGTGCTTTGGCAGAGTGGGTGGGGTTATATCCTTCCTGTTTGGCCCTGTCCGGGGGTTTCTTCGGATGGGGCCACAGTGTCTCCGGACCGCTCCTGTCTCAGCCTCCAGTATTTATGCTGCAGTAGTTTATGTGTCGGGGGGCTGGGGTTAGTTGGTTATACCTGGAGTACTTCTCCTGTCTTATCCAGTGTCCTGTGTGAATTTAAGTATGCTCTCTCTAATTCTCTCGTTCTCTCTTTCTCTCTGAGAACCTGAGCCCTAGGACCATACGTCAGGACTACCGGGCATGATGACACCTTGCTGTCCCCAGTCCGCCTGGCCTTGCTGCTATTCCAGTTTCAACTGTTCTGCCTGCGGTTACGAAACCCCTACCTGTCCCAGACCTGCTGTTTTCAACTCTTAATGATCGGCTATGAAAAGCCAACTGAGAGACCTGAGCCCTAGGACCATACGTCGGGACTACCGGCCGTGGTGACTCCTTGCTGTCCCCAGTCCGCCTGGCCTTGCTGCTATTCCAGTTTCAACTGTTCTGCCTGCGGTTATGGAACCCCTACCTGTCCCAGACCTGCTGTTTTCAACTCTTAATGATCGGCTATGAAAAGCCAACTGAGATTTATTCCTGATTATTATTTGACCATGCTTGTCACTTATGAACATTTTTGAACATCTTGGCATGGTTCTGTTATAATCTTCACCCGGCACAGCCAGAAGAGGACTGGCCACCCCTCATAGCCTGGTTCCTCTCTAGGTTTCTTCCTAGGTTTTCGCCTTTCTAGGGAGTTTTTCCTAGCCACCGTGCTTCTACACCTGCATTACTAGCTGTTTGGGGTTTTAGGCTGGGTTTCTGTACAGCACTTCGAGATATTAGCTGATGTAAGAAGGGCTATATAAAATAAAATTGATTGAAAATTGATTGATAAGGAAAAGAGTCAGTTGAACTGTATTTCAATTAACTGGGAATACAGATATGCATCTGTTGGTCACAGATACAGTACCTTTAAAAAGAAAGTAGGGGCGTGGATCAGAAAACCAGTCAGTATCGGTGTGACTACCATTTGCCTCATGCAGCACAACACATCTCCTTTGCATAGAGTTGATCAGGCTGTTGACTGTGGCCTGTGGAATGTTGTCCCAACCTCTTCAATGGCTGTGCATAGTTGCTTGATATTGGCGGGAACTGCAACACGCTGTTGTACACAGCGATCCAGAGCATCCCAAACATGCTCAATAGGTGATATATCTGGTGAGTATGCAGGCTATGGAAGAACTGGGACATTTTCAGCTTCCAGGAATGCCCATACCATAACCCCACTGCCACCATGGGGCACTCGGTCCACAACATTGACATCAGCAAACCACTTGCCCACACGATGCCATACACGCTGTCTGCAATCTGGCCAGTACAGTTGAAACCGGGATTCATCTGTGAAGAGCACACTTCTCCAACATGCCAGTGGCCATCGAAGGTGAGCATTTGCCCACTGAAGTCAGTTACGAAAATCAACACAAAAGCAATAATGGCATTACAATGAATGTGTCGATATGACAACAGTCCAAAATAGTCAATTATTGTATGCTTACATGGTCTGCGTTTTCACGCAATGGCATGAGTTGGATTTCATTTAGCGGTTATCCCTTGTCCTAGCAGTCGACACAAATCTTTGCCACTCTCACTTGCTTGACACACTTCCCACAAAAACGTAGCTTGCAGGTGAAATAGGTGACTTGGGTTCTGTTCTTTATGCATCTGGACACCTGGCACTGTCTCCTCCCCGGGAGCTGTGCGTAATTTGGCTCACGCAAAGGCTTGTGTGGAATCTTTGCTGCTGCCTTGGCCCTCATACAGTGAGGGAAAAAAGTATTTGATCCCCTGCTGATTTTGTATGTTTGCCCACTGACAAAGACATGATCAGTCTATAATTTTAATGGTAGGTTTATTTGATAAGTGAGAGACAGAATAACAACAATAAAATCCAGAAAAACGCATATCAAAAATGTTATAAATTGATATGCATTTTAATGAGGGAAATAAGTATTTGACCCCTCTGCAAAACATGACTTAGTACTTGGTGGCAAAACCCTTGTTGGCAATCACAGAGGTCAGATGTTTCTTGTAGTTGGCCACCAGGTTTGCACACATCTCAGGAGGGATTTTGTTCCACTCCTCTTTACAGATCTTCTCCAAGTCATTAAGGTTTCGAGGCTGACGTTTGGCAACTCGAACCTTCAGCTCCCTCCACAGATTTTCTATGGGATTAAGGTCTGGAGACTGTCTAGGCCACTCCAGGACCTTAATGTGCTTCTTCTTGAGCCACTCCTTTGTTGCCTTGGCCGTGTGTTTTGGGTCATTGTCATGCTGGAATACCCATCCACGACCCATTTCAATTCCCTGGCTGAGGGAAGAAGGTTCTCACCCAAGATTTGACGGTACATGGCCCTGTCCATCGTCCCTTTGATGCGGTGAAGTTGTCCTGTCCCCTTAGCAGAAAAACACCCCCAAAGCATAATGTTTCCACCTCCATGTTTGACGGTGTTGATGGTGTTCTTGGGGTCATAGGCAGCATTCCTCCTCCTCCAAACACGGCGAGTTGAGTTGATGCCAAAGAGCTCGATTTTGGTCTCATCTGACCACAACACTTTCACCCAGTTCTCCTCTGAATCATTCAGATGTTCATTGGCAAACTTCAGACGGCCCTGTATATGTGCTTTCTTGAGCAGGGGGACCTTGCGGGCGCTGCAGGATTTCAGTCCTTCACAGCGTAGTGTGTTACCAATTGTTGTCTTGGTGACTATGGTCCCAGCTGCCTTGAGATCATTGACAAGATCCTCCCGTCTATTTCTGGGCTGATTCCTCACCGTTCTCATGATCATTGCAACTCCACGAGGTGAGATCTTGCATGGAGCCCCAGGCCGAGGGAGATTGACAGTTATTTTGTGTTTCTTCCATTTGTGAATAATCGCACCAACTGTTGTCACCTTCTCACCAAGCTGCTTGGCGATGGTCTTGTAGCCAATTCCAGCCTTGTGTAGGTCTACAATCTTGTCCCTGACATCCTTGGAGAGCTCTTTGGTCTTGGCCATGGTGGAGAGTTTGGAATCTGATTGATTGATTGCTTCTGTGGACAGGTGTCTTTTATACAGGTAACAAGCTGAGATTAGGAGCACTCCCTTTAAGAGTGTGCTCCTAATCTTAGCTCGGTACCTGTATAAAAGACACCTGGGAGCCAGAAATCTTTCTGATTGAGAGGGGGTCAAATACTTATTTCCCTCATTAAAATGCAAATCAATTTATAACATTCTTGACATGCGTTTTTTCTGGATTATTTTGTTGTTATTCTGTCTCTCACTGTTCAAATAAACCTACCATTAAAATTATAGACTGATCATTTCTTTGTCAGTGGGCAAACGTACAAAATCAGCAGGGGATCAAATACTTTTTTCCCCTCACTGTATGTCTCTCACGTAGCCCGTATGCTAGACTCATGATGAAGTCTCTCCTGGGCATGGTGTTGTTCATTCACTGCTTGAACAACACGTGTGCGTTGATACAGTAGCAGCCAAGTCAAGCATGTCGTAGAGCACAGCAACAGGCCAGTGGCGGGTGCCTCCTTTCACAGAGGACAGCCATGCCATCTGATCCAAAACATCCACACCAACCTATGGAACAGAATAGAGTAGAAAATATTAGGATTATTTTCCCATAGGAAAAACAACACGTGTTATATAGAAGAGCATAATGTATTGCATAGGTTTATCTATTTATGGCATACCTTTGTTTGGTTGTGGTGCACAATAGTATCCGGTTTTCTCTTTATTGTGTCTCCGTTGATGGCAACTGTCGGATGCATGGTTCTCATGACAGAAACGTTCTTTCTTGCCTTGCATTGGTATAGTGTGAGTGTTGTCATTCTTCAGCACTGTTGTGGAGTACAATGGCTGTGCAGGTGCCTTATTTTGCGCAGAAGGAGGGAACTCCCGTCTCCCTTTGTCTCCCTTTGTTCATTTGCAAGGAACTTGTTCGCCAATGACCGTAAAGTGAAGAAATTGTCCATAGTGACATTTCTCCCCTTGCCAAAGTAAGGTTCCACAAGCCTCATCACCACATTCTCCGACACTCACTCACCTGCTGCCCGATGTTGATATTTTCCTAAACGGTGCAGTCCCTTCCTCTCTCCTTTCTCACAGTTTAATTTGGTGGTGGCGCAGGCACCTGCTCAGTGCGTACCGTTCTGGCTTTTTTGTGCTTAGGCCTCAGAGGTGTAGGTTCAGGCTGAGGCTCAGAATCAGAAGAATAATCATCAGAGATGTCATAATTAATTTCTTCCCCACCATCTGAGTCGTTTTCATTCAGATCTTGTAGCAGTGCTAACACAGCATGTGCATTCATTCGTCTTGGTCTTCGTGCCATTGTAAATGACGCACACTCTCACTGTGTATTCCTAGTAGGCCAGAGTAGACTGACAAGACTACTTGGATTTGGAGGACTGATATAGGGTTCATTTTGAAATTATAATTATAATATACCAATACAATAGATTGGCCCACCCTGTTCTTCATTCACAATTGGTGATTACATAATTATGCATTGTCCACTTCCCCTCGCTCATCAACTCACCCATTCTCCCCCATCATACTTTACTTAATTTATTTAATCTGTTGTCATATGTGTGAAATTAGTTTCGATATAGTTTAGGTTCAGTTTTGAGGCAATTATCGGGGTGATTATCAACTGGCCACTGCACCTTCCAATGTAAGGAGAATGAGCAGAGCAGACCCTATTGTCGGGAGAAGGAGGGGAAATGAGGGGAAACCATTCCAATAATGGAATGCCCTCCTAAAACTGGTTAGAACTCCAGTTCTGTTTGTGATATTACGATTCTAAAAACGGCAGTGTGTTATATAGACTTATTTAGGAAAAGTCAAGGACAGAGTGGGGCATTACTTTAAAAATTGGCAGAGTAATAAAATAAATAAATTCATGAGCAGTCAAAATGCCTGTTTTAGCGGTTCTAGTATTAATATTTTTCTTGATATGCCACACCTGTCAGGTGGATCTTGGCAATGGAGAAATGCTCACTAACAGGGATGTAAACAAATTGTGCAAAACATTTGAGAGAATTAAGCTTTTCGTGCATATGGAACATTTCGGGGATCTTTTATTTCATTGTTGGGAAGCATTTCATGTGACAAATACAATTTGATTTGATTTATTATGTGACTTGTTAAGCACATTTTTACTCCTGTACTTATTTAGGATTGACATAACAAAGGGTTTGAATACTTATTGACTCAAGACATTTCAGCTTTTAATTTTTTATTAATTTGTAAAAAATTCTAAAAATCTAAATTCCACTTTGACATTATGGGGTATTGTGTGTAGATCAGTGACACAAAATCTCAGACAGCCCTGTAGCCCTCCAGTAAGCTAGCCAGACAGTCAAGACAGTTTGCCCACCAGCCAGGCAAATGCACAGAGTGACAGATACAGAGAGAAAGTCAGAAAAACACACCAGTGAGGTTGGTACCTGAGGGGGAGTTCTCAGTGATCTCAGCCCGGTAGCTGGTCTGTGTGAATATGGGCCTGTTGTCATTATCATCCAGAACTGTGATCACCAGCAGGTCTGAGTCCTAGAGAAAGGGATGCAGGGAGGGAGAGAGTGATGGATTGGGGAGGGAAGGGTGAATGGGGTAGGAAAGGAGGGAGGGGAAGGGAAGAAGGTGAGAAATGTTCTCAATAAAAAAGCAAATAGCTGTCATTCCATGCAATATTTGAGAGTCACGTTGTATCATTGAATAATGCCATCTATGTAGAGCTGGGCAATATGGACAAAAATGCATATCACAATACTTGAAAATACAGAGGATCAACAACATTGCATTCACTCCATATTACTGGCCTGTATGATAAAGTGAAAAGAAGGAAGCCTGTGTTAAGAAATCCACTCCAAATCATCCATTGGTTGCAACAAGGCCGTTTAGTAATACTGCAAGACAACACGGCAAAGAAATTAACTTTTTGACCGAAATTAAAAACTACAGGTTTGGGTTAAATCCAATACAATACAACACAACCCAGAGTGAAACCCTCTGTATTTTCAAGTATTGTGGTGGCAGCATCATGTTATGTGTATGCTTGTCAACGGCAGGGCCTGGGGAGTTTGTCAGGATCAAACTAACTATGAAAGGAGCAAAGCCCAGGTAAAAAGTTAGAGGAAAACCTGCCTCAGTCTTCTGAGAACCTCACCCAGGGATATAGTTTATTTTTCAGTGGGACATTTCCACAAATGTTAATGCCAAAAACACACCAAAATAGCTTTCCAAGAGGTGTTGAGTAGTTCCTGAGTGGTCCAGTATCAGTCCTGACTTATTTGAGAGTGAGTGAGTGTGAGAGTGTGTGGCACAGTACCCGGCGAGCGATGCGGGGATTCTCAGGGTTGTCTTTGACAGTGATGGTCAGTCTGTACTCCCCCACCCTCTCTCTGTCCAGAGGCCTGTTCACCTGCACCACCCCTGTCTGAGAGGGGGAGAGAGAGACAGAATGGGGGGAGTGATTGTGCACAAGATGGAGGATAGACATGACTCATCAATTATACCATATCCTTCCCTTTTCAATGCCTCTCTATAACCACGTTTCCATCCACAGTTTGGTACAATTACATAAATGCAGACAGATAATTTCTTTGTTCGACATGGTGGGATCTTTTTGTGTCTGTAAAATTAATTATGCGAAAAATGGCGGTGGAAACGCCTTTATGCACAAATATTAATATAATAACCACCATATCGAAGTAAATTTGGAGAAATCATGCAGTTTATTAGGCTACAGAGGAAATAAATGATGATGAACTTCACAGAGTGGTGAAAGTGCACAGTGATGAGCTTGATGCTCCTTTCCAATACATTTCGAGGGTCTTATTCTGGTGACATGATGAACAGTGCTTGACCGACGTTTGACAAATCAACATATTCTCGCTCTTATCCATAATAATCTCATCATGTCGACTAGCCAACCCACACAGCCTACCCGCACTGTATCTGTGAGCTGTTGGCTAGAGCGCACGTGCCAAGACCAGAGCAGGCACATTTGCTATTTAACGCAACAGTTTTTGTGACAAAACTATCGGTAGAGTTGAAAATGTGATGGAAACCCATCGAACTTTCAATTTCTATTTGGTAAATGAAAACTTAAGTGGAAAATTACATTTTGTGTGCATCACACTGATTATGTCATCACACCGGTTTTTATCCAGAACATTTCTGTTTGGTGGAAACACACCACTGGTGGGAAAATGCGCATATTTTCATGATGGGGATTTTAGAATATTCATATGAAAATCTGTCACCAATTGGATGGAAACCTAGCTCCTGACTTTTTATGTATTTATTTTTGTTTGTCTACATTTTTCTACTTCTCCTTACTTGTTTTTCAGAACAAGCCCTTCTCTCCCCTTCTTCTACCCCTTTACTCTCTCTCTGTAACCTTTCATCCTCACTCACTCACTCACTCACTCACAGTGTCATTGATGTAGAAGGCTCCATCGTGGTTTCCGGCAGTGATGTTGTAGGTGAGCAGGGCGTTGCGTCCACTGTCCACGTCCCGTGCTTGGACCGTGGTAACCGAAGTGTGGATGAACGCCCCCTCTCTCACACTGGTGTTGTGGGGCAGGTTGAACAGAATGGGGTCGTTGTCATTGATGTCCAGCACATGGACACCCACCACCACCTGGGAGATGGAGAGGACACAGGACAGTGTCGCACTTGGTCTTAGTGTGTGTGTGGATGCACACATGTGTTGTGTTCATAGAAGTGTCTGAGCATGTTAGCATGAAGCACCACTGGATCAGTGCATGTCTGTGCGTGTGTGTGAACACACCATGCTGCTGCGTGGTGGGTTGCCCAGGTCTTTGGCCATGACAGTGATGTTGTAGAAGGGTGTGGTCTCTCTGTGTCACATCTCTCCCACCCAGCTCTCCTCCATGGAGATCCAAATATCACAGAGCGGAGAGAGATGAGAGAGAGAGAGAGAGAGAGAGAACGAGAGCGCCTCCACTGGAGAACACAAACTCATCTGAGAGAGAGAGAGAGAGGTGAGATGAGTGAGAGAGAGAGAGAGAGAGAGTTTAGTTTGTTACTAGCCTTATACTGCACACACACACACACAGGCACACCCGCATATACACCCCACCCCTCCCCCACAAAGACACACACACACACACTACTCACTCTGAGGGTCTCCGGCAGTGATGCTGTACTCCACTTTGCCGTTGAGTCCAGAGTCCTGGTCGGTGGCCTTGACGGTCCAGACCCGGGGCCCCGGCTGGCCCTCTGTTATCTCAAAGGGCCCCTCATAGGCCTTGGGGAAGGTGGGGGTCACATCATTCACATCCAGGACATTCACCAACACCTGGAAAGGACCGGTGGAAACAACCTGTATAGAGATCTGTATGGTCTATAACAGTGGTTCCCAAACGGTGGGGGGTCGGCAGGGGGGGAGCGGAGGTCCATATATATTATTATTATTTTGGGGGGAGGGGGACTCAGTCCGGCTTTCAACTTACTCTTTAAAATTGTAATAGTAGAAATAGTCGAAATTGTGTAGTGCATCATCAGTTTTCCTCTTGTCATGTCAGTCATTGCATACCTTAGAGAGCTATTTATAACTTGTCAGAAATGTCCAGATCAACTTGCCCATGTCAGCTAACGTTTTTTTGTTTGAATTGCAAGAAAATTAGTTTAAAACTGCAAAATGTTCTCTGCACCCCATGACAAAATGTGTAGAATTGCAGGAAATAAGCTTTAAACCTGCAACATTGTCTCTCCACCAACAAGAGTGGTTTAAACCGTTTGTGTCATGAACAGTGCTTATGCCCATAGAAATAGACGTGGCGTGGGCGCAGGGGGGGCGTGGGATGTTCCCCAATGCTGGAAGGCGGGAGAAAGTTTAGGAACCCCTGGTCTATATGGTTTATGATGTAATTTACACTTTTTGTAAAATAAAATCGGGGTCATTAATTTGACTAAACAAAAACGCATGCAAATGTCACAGATTCCAACTACAATATGATGTGTGTATAAACTATATTAACCTGTTAGGAATAACAGGACGATTCCAATGCCAGAATAAAACAATTATCATGAGAGGGCCATGAACAGTACCTAGTAATGCTGTATACTACTAGAAAGCTCAGATTTTCAGCTTTTTGGGGGGCTTTATGATTTTTCTAATAAAAAGATCTAGTAAATAGTATGAAAAATAGTCAATCGTATGAAAATATGATTTCATATGCTATGAAGAACCTATTCATGAAAAATGAGTAAATAGGGCCTGAATATTTTTTGTGATAATATACATATATTTACAATCAACTTTACAAATTACATACTATAAGATTTCAGCTGCCTTATTACTGTAATAAATTATCATATAACCTGGTTAGGACAAATGTACCATATTCATGGATCACGGCTTTCATTCATTCTTGTGTCCCTCCCCTCCTGAAACTCACAGAGTTGGCTAGCCACTCTATGAATTCGTTACGATCTTAGCTTTCATCTCCTATAAAAGTTGTCTGTCTGTGATGAACACAAAGGGATTTTGTTTCACATCTACAAATAATGCTCACTTTTTTATTATTAAACTAGATATAAAACCATATTGACGGACAGTCCGACCAGTGAAGAAAAGTGTAGGCAGGATTTCCCAGCTGTGGATATGTAACCCGATACCCCAGAGTCTTCAAAGGCAAACTCAATTCGCAAAGCGAATCGGCTTAAAAGAGAATGATTTATAAGCAAATGACCTTAATAAAACAATTAAATTATAACGAAAGTACCCGAAATCTACTCTTAACTGGTTTTAAGATCAAAGTAATGATGAATATTTAGTGTAAAAATAGTTATTGTCATGTAGAGTGTGTATGTGTGTGTGTGCGTACAGTGAGGGAAAAAAGTATTTGATCCCCTGCTGATTTTGTACGTTTGCCCACTGACAAAGAAATGATCAGTCTATAATTTTAATGGTAGGTTTATTTGAACAGTGAGAGACAGAATATCAACAGAAAAATCCAGAAAAACGCATGTCAAAAATTTTATAAATTGATTTGCATTTTAATGAGGGAAATAAGTATTTGACCCCATCTCAATCAGAAAGATTTCTGGCTCCCAGGTGTCTTTTATACAGGTAACGAGCTGAGATTAGGAGCACACTCTTAAAGGGAGTGCTTCTAATCTCAGTTTGTTACCTGTATAAAAGACACCTGTCCACAGAAGCAATCAATCAATCAGATTCCAAACTCTCCACCATGGCCAAGACCAAAGAGATCTCCAAGGATGTCAGGGACAATATTGTAGACCTACACAAGGCTGGAATGGGCTACAAGACCATCGCCAAGCAGCTTGGTGAGAAGGTGACAACAGTTGGTGCGATTATTCGCAAATGGAAGAAACACAAAATAACTGTCAAACTCCCTCGGCCTGGGACTCCATGCAAGATCTCACCTCGTGGAGTTGCAATGATCATGAGAACGGTGAGGAATCAGCCCAGAACTACACGGGAGGATCTTGTCAATTTTCTCAAGGCAGCTGGGACCATAGTCACCAAGAAAACAATTGGTAACACACTACGCCGCGAAGGACTGAAATCCTAGAGCGCCCGCAAGGTCCCCCTGCTCAAGAAAGCACATATACAGGGCCGTCTGAAGTTTGCCAATGAACATCTGAATGATTCAGAGGAGAACTGGGTGAACGTGTTGTGGTCAGATGAGACCCTTTGGCATCAACTCAACTCGCCGTGTTTGGAGGAGGAGGAATGCTGCCTATGACCCCAAGAACACCATCCCCACCGTCAAACATGGAGGTGGAAACATTATGCTTTGGGGGTGTTTTTCTGCTAAGAGGACAGGACAACTTCACTGCATCAAAGGGACGATGGACGGGGCCATGTACCATCAAATCTTGGGTGAGAACCGCCTTCCCTCAGCCAGGGCATTGAAAATGGGTCGTGGATGGGTATTCCAGCTTGACAATGACCCAAAACACACAAAGGAGTGGCTCAAGAAGAAGCACATTAAGGTCCTGGAGTGGCCTAGCCAGTCTCCAGGCCTTAATCCCATAGAAAATCTGTGGAGGGAGCTGAAGTTTCGAGTTGGCAAAAGTCAGCCTCGAAACCTTAATGACTTGGAGAAGATCTGCAAAGAGGAGTGGGACAGAATCCCTTCTGAGATGTGTGCAAACCTGGTGGCCAACTACAAGAAACGTCTGACCTCTGTGATTGCCAACAAGGGTTTTGTCACCAAGTACTAAGTCATGTTTTGCAGATCAATTGATAACATTTTTGACATGCGTTTTTCTGGATTTTTTTGTTGTTATTCTGTCTCTCACTGTTCAAATAAACCTATCATTAAAATTATAGACTGATCATGTCTTTGTCAGTGGGCAAACGTACAAAATCAGCAGGGGATCAAATATAATTTTGTGTGTGTTCTGTGATTGTCATCACCGTGGTGCTGGAAGTCAGGCGGAGGGCCTGGATGGGGCACTGGTCCGTTGCTGTCACGACAAGTGCGTAGTGTCCATTGCTGATCTCAAAGTCCAGCTCCTTCACTGCAACAATCTTTCCCTGGACACATACACAAAAAGACAAATACTTTAACACTCAACGCTATTCTAAATACTGTACACTCAGTGTGTCCACAACCTACACACAGTACCAGACCTGGGTTCAAATACTACTTGAAAGGTTTAAAATACTTTGAGCGTTTGCTTTAGCCTGCCTGGTGTCCCCGATGGGCAGGGTTAGCACTTCTGCAACAATTATGCTACAAAAAAATGGCGCCGACGGAAAAGTGGCTTTTTCGTGTGTTTATCAAAACAAACAAAAATGTACAGAAAGTTCCTCCTATTATCACATATGACCGCCAAATACTTCTGGACATCAGATCGACAGTTACTAACCTCGATTTCGACTTAAAATCCAACTTCAACATTGACTCAGCTGTTCCCTTGTTCATATCCCATTTCTTTGTTTCATGAGCTACCAAAACACTGCAGGCGTAGACACAGGAGACGTGCCAGCATCCTGGTGAGATTGAGAATATTGACTAGTACTCCCAGTCACTTTTTTTTCATATTATATGCCTTGCAGAGACGTGGTTGGATGACTCTATGTACGTAGGACTCAGTGGTTTCTCCATGCAGCGGCACAATCGGACAAAGGCATCCTCTGGCAAGTCCAAAGGGAGGGGGTATGTCTCTTCATAAACAACAACTGGTGCGCTGCTTCCAGTATGAAGCAAATCTCAAGCTTAGACGACAACATAGACGACAACGTCCCCACAGTGACTACACGAACGTATCCAAACCAAAAACCATGGATTACAGGCAATAGCTGCACTGGGCTAAAGGCTAGAGCTACCGCTTACAAGAAACGGGACACGGACATGGACGCATACAAGAAAGCCCGCTACGACCGCTGACGAGACATCAAACATGCAAGAGGACAATATAGGAGGAAGGTTGATTCCTCTTAAACCGGCTCTGACGCTTGTTATATGTGGCAGGGTTTGCAGACGATAATGGATTACAAAGGGAAACACAGCTGTGAGATGCCAACTGATGCAGAACTCCCTAAACAAGCTAAATGCCTTTTATGCCTCCTTCAAGGAATACAACAGAGTATTGCGTGAAAGCCACTGTTGTTACGGATGACTGTGTGATCTAGCTCTCTGTGGCCGATATGAAGAAAACTTTTAAACAGGTTAACAGATGGAATACGAGGGCGCGTTCTCAGTGCATGCGCAGACCAGTTGGCAAGTGTCTTCACTGACATTCTCTCTTTGTCCCAGTCTGTCATCCAACATGTTTCAAGCTGACCACCATTGTACATGTTCCCAAGAACTCCAAGGTAACCTGCCT